AGGCTCACATGGAATAGGCACTTCATACATGTTAGTGGAATCTGAATGCAAACTCTTTAAAAAAAAACACCACAGAAGGAGGATGTGTGTCCAAGTCTCTGTCATCAGATGATGTTGTTCAAAGCAAATAGAAAGACAAGACCCATCAACTGTGCCACTGCTTTGAGGTCAAGGCATAAGCCTTGAAGTGGATGTTAGGAAAAACTTTGACCTCCAACCTTGAACGGATGCTGTGACTGCTTCTACAAGCTTCAAGACAAACAATTAACAGTTAAGCTGCCCTTGTTCTGGGCACGATCAGGACCACGTGAAGGATTTAAAATTTCACTGGGATGACAGGTTTCAGAGCAGCTGGCCGGCTGGAGGGGTCCCATAAATGTCACAAAGAAACTCATACCAATAGGGAAAGCAGGAGACAAAAATAATAACAATAATTCTTTACATTCACATGGTATCTTTCATCTGAAGAACTCAAAGTATTTTACAGATGTTATATCCATTAAAACTTATGCAGCAAGCATTATTCTCCCTGGATTACAGATGGGGAGGGAACAGTAATCCTGTCACTTGGACTAAAACTGGAAGAAACATGTAATTATCTTTGAGAGGAAATCTTTCTAATGTAACCCTTTTCTTCTGCAGTTTCCTATTGCTCCTGAGTGAGTCGGACAGGTCACATCCTTGGGCCTGGAATATCTGCTGCAGGTATCCAAACACTGAAATGAGATCACCTCTCAATCTTTTTTTCCAGACGAAACATATTTAGCTTTTCAAGTCTTTCTTCAGAAGCCCTAGCTTCTCTTTTCTCATTTTCTAACAACCTGGAGATGGTTTTCAAGTTGAGTAACTAAAACCAGTGCCTGATGCTTCAGTCCAAATTGGTCAGCAACATTACCTGAAAAAGCTGATAGTCATGAGGTTAGATTTGTGTTTTTGCAGCTGGGACTTCCACTAAGATACAGTGTTTTGGTTTTGGCATCTTTCTGATGAGGCAGGGACTTCTAGTTCTGATGTTCATATCTTCTTTGTTCTTTTTTGCTTTGATTTGGAATTAAACTTCTTTTAAAAATGCAAAGTAAATTGACACTATTGGAAAGAAGAAAAAAATTTTCACCTTGAATCCTGACATATCAACTATTACTATTTTTGCATATTCCATTTTGTCGTTATTCATATTAATCTTTTAAATAGCATTCTGCTTTTAGGATCACATTATAAGCATTTTCCCCCATTGCTTCTTGGAAACTAAGCACATTTTTTACTGTAAAATCAGGATTCCAAACTTGTATTATAATTTTCTCAGCTATTAGAAGATATTAGAATTGCCTCTAATTTTTCTATTATAAAATGTTATTTGTTGAACATCTTTACACCCAAAACTTTTTTTATATTTTAGGTTATTAGCAACTTTAAAAATGGTTGGAGATGTATTTCCAAAGAACTTTCTCAAATGACTGAACCTAATTGCAGTGCCTCAACCAGTAATGTTGACAATATCACTTTAACTGCATTCTTGTTAAAACTGAATTTTACTTCATTGCTTAAAAATCTTATTTAAATTTTCTTACTATTCACAAATTTGGCTATGTTACCTTTCTTTTCTTTTCTTTTCTTTTTTTTTTTTTAAATCAAACTGAATGTACTCCCTCTTTTTAAAATAGTTACACCTTGGATGAAGTACTTACACACTAGATGAAGAATGGTATAAATCTAAACTAAAAAAAATCCTGATATAAAAATAGTAGTAATAATTCAATCTTGCACTTACAAAATTCCTCTTACTCTAGGTTCAGTATGTTGCTTTATTCTTTAAAATGTTTTCGAGAGGTAAATAGAAAGTACTATTCATCAGTTTTTTTCCTTTTATTAGATTTATTATACTACTACATTAAAAAAACCCCAACTCTTTCTTTTTATCAGTCACAGGTATTTCAAGACAAGTATATTCATCAATTTTAAAAATGAAGAAAATAGTAAGAAAAGCCCATGGTGCCATGACTTAGACCAATTGCTGTGTTACATAGTAAATGGCATTGATCAAATTTTCTCACTGGCTTTCACTATATTCTCAGAGCAGTGGCACCTTCAGCTCTGGCTTTGCCTTATTCAAATTCTTCAGGCCTTGTTGCATTTTCCTTTGTGTTTTGAATATACACATGATTATTTATCCTATGCCTGTATACTGGTTAAAAAAAAAAAAAAAGTTAGTTAGGGAAAAAAGTTAGTTACATATTGTAGGGAAGGAAAAAGTACTTGTAAATTTAATCTGTTCTAAGAACTAAAATGATTTCCCAAAGAGTCAAACTACATTGTACATGGAGATCCCACCTCAGATAGACTGATGATTGCCAGTGAGATATTTAATATTGAGATCTAGCCATGATCTCTATGAAACTGTATTTATGACATAGCTGTATGAGAAAACCCTGGCCATAAACTATAACTCCTATTATTTTTCTGTTGATAGATTTTAAACTTATTTCTCATACTTTCCCAAACTGTGTTTTTTCATGGTCTCTATGTTAAGTTGTCCTAGCTTATAAATTCAGATGGTTTCTCCCTTTTACCATCATATGAGCGTATAAACCCACATAAAGTAGGTTTCCTCCTGTGCCCTATGGGAATAGGGCCTCTTATCTGTTAAGTCAAAACCCTGAAATTATCTTCTTCTTCAGCCATTAATTGAGTCTCTTGATTCTTTTTCAGAGTAGGATGCATTTCAGTTACAGAACTCAGAGAAAATTGATTTTTTTTTTTGTGGTTGAGTCTCCCTCCGTCGCCCAGGCTGGAATGCAGTGGCACACTCGTGGCTACCCCAGTGTCGACCTGCTGAGCTCTGGCAATCCTTACACCTCAACCTTCCAAGTAGCCAGAACTATAGGCTCGCGCTACCATGCCCGGCTAATTTTTGATTTATTGTAGAGATGATGTCTCGCCAAGTTTCCCGGGTTGGTCTTGAACCCGCGGGCTCAGGCAATCCACTCACCTCGGCCTCCGAAAGTTCTGGAATTACAGGCTGAGCCACGAGCCTGGCCAGAAAATTGATTTCTAATAGAAGTAACTCAGTCAAGGTTTTGGAATTTAATGAAGTTTTTGGAAAACAACTATCTAAACGAGGCAATTTTGCTGTGTGATATGCTTCCCCATGGTGTCTCTCCTCCATAGCCCTCTGCTTTGTTCATGTTTTTTTGTGAAGCAGAATGCGGGAGAAAACAGTTTCAAGACATACTTGACCTGCAGCCCAAAAAATTGGACTGGATTCACCAGTCAAAATGCTGCAGATTATGAAACAATGAAACCTTTTCAAGTGGGAGATAAAGTAATGGGAAGTGGCAGGAGAGAGGTAGGAATGTAGACAATAAAATAGTACAGTGACTCTGATAAGATCTTTGGGAATCTGAGACAAATCGGATTCAGGTTCACCTAGTGCCTCCTTGCCTCTTTGCCTGTGACTTACTTCCGTCACTTTCCAGTAACTTCTGTTGTGAAATAGACCTGGCCTGGTTCCTGCCCTGACTTTCCATATCTTATCCTTAAAAAGTGCTTATGCTGTGGGGCCTTCCTACCTGCTTCAGGCATGATTTGGCTGCTATGATGTTAAGACTGTTCTTACCGGTGACCACCTGAGAGTAATTAAGTGCTCTCTCCTACCTAGAGCTGAACCGACTGGTTTCAAAATTATATTTTCCTGGAACATCTTGTTGAACTGGAATGCTTTGGTAGTTAAGAAAACACTGCTCACACCTGAACAAATCAGTCGGTTTTTCCTGAGATGTAGTTCATGGTCACCTCATGGCACACACGAAGATAAATGGCAGATCCAATTGTCTGGTTTAGGCAGAATGCAGTGAGATCATTATATCATCATGGAGCATTAAATAAAAGATTGCAGAAAATCAAGAGTTATACTAATTGATTTCTAGTCTAATTATACAAACAGGACAGATGGAAAAGCTCTGAGAATGGAAACACTAGTGGGCATGGTCAAAATTATTTGGAACAGGTGATTCTACCTCCAACAAAGTTGCTTTTCCAAAAAAACACAATTTTTGAAATATAATTATTTTTACATATTGAGAGTTGGAGATCATCATCCTAAGTGAACTGACTCAGAAACAGAAAAGCAAACACCACATGTTCTCACTCGTACAGAAGTTAAATGGTTGCGAAGACAGAAATAATAGACACTGGGGACACCAGTAAGGGAGGAGGTGGGGAGGTGCAGAGGCTAGGGTTCAGAAATTACCTGTGGATACAGCGTTCACTGTCTGGAGAAGGGGCCAGATAGTGACCCAATCCCCACCACTACATGATATGTCCATGTAACGAATGTGCATGTGTACCCCTGAATCTAAAATAAAAATGGAGAAAAATAAATTCAATTAAAAAATTAATTCTTATGAGAGATGTAACACACACACACACACACACACACACACACACACACACACACACACACAATATTTATTGCCCTACCTCCTTTCTTAGAAAATAAGTAAACTCTTTCAAGATTCAGACCTCTGGCCATTTTTTATTACCATTATTACTATTTCTCACCTCTTCCGGGCAAAAGTCAATGATTCTGTGCTAATTTTTAGGGCAATCTGAGAAAAAGAGTGTGGTAGATTTAATTTAAAACAAATGCTTAAAAAGCACATAACAAAATGGGCCTTTTAAGGTGTTTTTCCCAAATCCACATCTAAAGGTAATAATTTTGGGGGAAAAGAGTACAAATAAGACGCATTTAAAAAGACAAATGAATTGGAACAAGAACACTTTTTTTTTCCCCCAACACTCCATTTCCAGAGACTGAGTTGACTTTTTACTTTCTCACTATATGAAAAACTGTTCTTGAAATGTGTCAAAGAACCACTCTGACTACAGTGCCAAGAACATTCTGGGGGTGATCTCCTCATTCCCTCCGTGCCTGGGAGAAAGGGTCCCCAGAGAGCAATGCTGGGGAATCCTGGGGCCACCTCCTGTAACTAATGGTGAACTGCATGAACTCTGGGGGACCTGGAATCCTGGCGGGAAATATTAGACATGACAGCCAATGCTTTTCGAACGCCATGTGGAAACATAGTTCTCCAACAGTAAGTAGATACTAGGGGAACCCACAAAACTCTGGAATTTATTTATTTTAAAATATGTATTTATTCTTACATGTTTAAACTTCAGTCACCTCTGTTTGATGTATTATACCCATTGAGATACTTTTTTCACTGCTCAAAACAGTTTTTGAACTTGTCAGTTTTTATGCCTTTTAGTGCTTCTGTTGTTTTTCTATTGTTGTTTGATTCACCTCTTCCACGTCGGCAAAACATTTCCCTTTGAGGACTTTTTTCATGAGGGAGACAAACAAAAAATGCTGCTTGGGCAAGATGAGGTGAATAGGGAAGGTGGAGCACGGGGGTCATGCAGTTTGAGGTCAAAAACTGCTGAGCACTCAGTGCAGTGTGGAGCAGGTATGCTCTAAAATCACCAATCATGAAATGGGCAAGCACACTGAAAAAAATCTCAAAAAAAAAAAACCAAAAAACATTGAAGTCAAACACAGCTTCTCACAACAACGCTAGCTGGCACAGTGATGCCGATGGGTTCCTAGAACACTTTGGTTCCTAGAATACCTACCTAGCGGGAGAAGCCTATACTACAAGGGGACCACCCTTCAAAGAATAATTTTGGGGGTTTGGGGGTTCCCCCCTCGTAAATACAGCCACAAGAAAATCAGGAGATGAGACAAACTCCTTTTGTAATCTAGCCTCACCCTACTCATTTAAGCTTTCTCGTTTTTGGCTAATGCCTGTCCACTCTTTTCCTCCGACTGCCCTGTCCTGCATGGACCTAGACGTCCCTGCCCCAAATCAGCAGAGTGGTCACAAACATTAAGAATAACCTCACGAGCTTTGAGAGTTTATTTCCCTTTTTCGTTTTGGAAAAAGAATAATTATGTCATTTAGTTGTGTATTCTTGATAATCTTAACTTTAGGAGATATAATAAATATTTTGAAGGTTGACATATTCTGAAATAAAGTTTTAGATTAGGGGAAGCAGAATGCAAGTTTGGCTTTGGATGGTAAATGAAAGTGTAAATATTTACAACGAACAATCGAATTTCACATGCTCAGATGCAGAATCATCCATCATAGCTCCAATTGTGATTTTTTTTATTTTTATTTTTATTTTTTTGTTGGAATCTCACTCTGTCACCCAGGCTGGAGTGCAGTGGCACGCTCACGGCCACCCCAGCGTCGACCTGCTGGGCTCTGGTGATCCTTCTGCCTCAGCCTTCCAAGTAGCCAGAACTACAGGTGCACATTACCATGCCCTGCCAATTTTTTTATGTTATTGTAGACACGCGGTCTCGCCAAGTTGTCTGGGTTGATCTCGAATCCACGGGCTCAGGCAACCCACCCGCCACGGCCTCCCAAAGTGCTGGGATTACTAGTTGAGTCCCCGAGCCTGGCCCAATGGTGATTTCTACCAGCAGCAGAGAGGACAGGGATATATCTCCTCAGTGAAAACCATTCTGTCAGATTCCTTTCTTTTGATCAAAATGATAAATATTGTAGCTTGCTCTCACTGATTTATTTTATGTAACAGTACAGGCAATATGCAAAGTTATGAACATTAACAGCAATGGTATGTTTTACAACAGTGGAACTTCAGTACTGCTGGGAATATATTGTATTTGTGCTTCTTGGGGGTACACTGCTTCAGTTGCTAACATAATGAAAGTGCTTATTTCAAGAGACAGTTTTAAAACACAGTTACATTTTATTACTCCTTTAAAAACGCTTCTCACAAGTCCCATATCACTGAGGAGTGCATTGGTCCAGTCTTTTATTGCATGTAGCCCTTGTCCTATTTATGATCCACGACTGATGCATCAGCCTATAAATGTGATTTCTCTGAAGCAATGGAGGTCAAGTCTCTAACTCCTATGACAGGAAGGGATTTAACACAATAATTTTGCTATTCTAAAAATGTTTCTGTTGCCAGCATCCAGTTGGGAAGCGAGGCTTCTCATGGATCATGCTTTTGCTGGAAAATCACAGAATGTTTTAGAGAAGGTAGTCCTAATTGGTGTGAAACATCTTGAATTGCTGAAGTTCTAATGAACTTGAAAAAGCCCTGGAGAATCAAAGGAAGCACAAAATGATGTCATGGTCTTTAAAAGATAAAATAAAAACAGAATGAAAAAAAAAAGCTTTAACTCGTTTCAGAAAGAGATGTCAACTCTTAGTGTTTGTGGATAAAAGTTTCCAGATAATCGTTTTCAATTTGGGGATAGAAGAGAGTGGGTGTGGGGGGCGGTTAACATTTCAGGCAGAAAGAAGAATATCAAACAGTTAGTGCCATCTAGTGGTTATATAGGATAAACACAGGATTTTCCCAAATAGTGAACTTGCTTTTACCAAGCAGGCCAAATTACAGGTCCCCAGAGAAGGTTGGTTTGAATTTATAGCTCCACTTATTCAGTAAATAATGAAACTCAATGATAAAATAGTTTAATAATGAAGACTACATAGAAAAGAGCTGAGTCCCTAAAAGTCACATGTAGAAAATAAGCCCTTGATATGTTTTTTTTGTTTTTGTTTTTTTTTCTGAGTTGGAGTCTCACTCTGTCACCCAGACTGGAGTGCAGTGGCCACTCCCGGCCACCGCAGCCTCGACCTGCTGGGCTCCGGCGATCCTTCCGCCTCAGCCTTCCAAGTAGCTGGAATTACAGGCATGCGCTACCACGCCCGGTTGATTTTTTGATTTATTGTAGAGATGAGGTCTTGCTGCCCAGGCGGGTCTCGAACCCGCGGGCTCAGGCAATCCACTCACCTCAGCCTCCCAAAGGTGCGGGATTACAGGCCGAGCCACCGAACCCGGCTGATATGTTTTAAATATGTGAATTTTGCTATGTTTCAACAAAGTCTGAGTTAAAACTACCAAGAGATGTTTAAGGAGGAAAAGCTACATCTATTTCAAAATATCATGCCAATTAGCATTTTCTGTCACCCGTAAATGATTATCCAAGCATAATTAGATGACTGAACTGAGGGTCTATTTAAGAGGAACTTGATAGAAACTCAGTGTTCGGTGAACTTGGGAAAATTTTACATCTTGATTTCACTGCCCTAAATCTGAAATTTAGCATTTCCTTCAATCAAGAATGTAGGCTACAAACCACAGTAGTGTCAGCTATACCTGAGACGTTGACACCAAAATAAATCAGATATTTTCATGTGAGCATACATGTTTTTCATTACAACTAAATGTTGGTAGTTATCAGACCCTGACACCAGATCTTGTTTTCTAACAGGTAATAAAGAAGCAAATATATTATCATGCTATAAGTTTAGTTTTAAGAACATTTGAATAATTGTTTTCCCTATATACTGTTTCTCTTTGTATGCATTATCTGTGTATTTTATTTAAAGCATTTAGAACATTGCTCTGAGAGGTGAACAGTAGGCTTCGTAAGGCTGCTGGAGGGGTCCATGGAGCACAAAAATCAAGAGCCCTGATCGAAATGATGGTTAAATCATGAAGTCAAAACACATAATTTAGAGGTTAAGAGCACAGTCTCTGAATTTAGTCTCTTAGGCTCAAATCCTACTTTCTAGTTTTGTCTTTTACTTAGCCTCTGTGTGCCTCAGTTTACCCATCCATGACACTCACCTCACAGAAGAGATGCCAGATTTAAGTGAGTTAATATGTGTCAAGTGCTGAAATGAACACTCAGCCCTGAGAAGTTCTTAGGATTAGTTCTTGTCATTACTGCACAATGCATTTATTAAATTTAAAAACTTCTGGGCATTTGGCCTATGGCCAGTGTTAGTGCTTATTAAACATATTATCTACTAGTATTATAAAAAATAAAAATAAAAACTTCTAGGCAAAGCACCAAGATAAATGATCTGAATTTATAATGTAGATTGCCAGCAGTTTTGATGAACAAATATGCCTCGACAATAATTTTGTATTTAGAAAAAACATATTTTATACAATTTTAGAACTGATATTAATAATAATCCTTAAGAATGTAGTAGTATCCCATTTTCTGAACCCCAGATAGTTAAGTGCCCAATTCAAAGTCACATGGATGAAATGGCTGGAATACGAATGAAAACTTTTGGTAATTGTTTTTCACCCACCCAATCCTAAAAATCCAAAAGCTTTAGATGCTCTCAAAGTATGTTTAAAAGATAAGACTTTCCCTGCAATCCCCCTACTGGGAATATACCCTGAAGAACACAAATCACTCTATAAAAAAGATACCTGGACACGTATGTTTATCGCAGCATTGTTCACAATAGCAAGAACCTGGAAACAACCATGCTGCCCATCAAAAGAGGACTGGATTAAAAAAATGTGGTACATATACACGATGGAATACTACGCAGCCATAAAAAAGAACAAAATCATGAATTTTGCAGCAACCTGGATGGAACTAGAGTCTATAATACTGAGTGACCTCACACAGAAACAAAGATCAGAATATCACATGTTCTCACTCATATAATGGACCTTGAACATCCAATGTAATACTATAACAAAATGACTGACGGTACTGGGAAACTATGGGGGGGAGGGGGAGGGGATTAACAGTAGCAAATATCTGTCTGGGGCTGGGAAAACACCTCTTATCAACAGGGTGTCTGAATGAAACGTAATTGTACACCTAATCCTTAACTGTACCCCACAAAACTATAATAAAAATACTGATTAATTAAAAAAAAAAAAAAAAAAAAAAAGATAAGACTTTGTAAAAGTTGAAGGAGAATCTATATCTAGATGGGTACCATACAACTAGTTCGTAAGATTTACCTAACCTAATTTGAGGATTAATCCCACACCAGGATGGTAGGAAAAAAGAACAAACTGAGAACTTTTGTACATATGAACTCTCTTGATCTTTACAATAAATTTGTGATCATATCTTTTTCCCTACAAAAATATTTAAGTGCATACTTTTCTTTTTTGAGTCAGAATCTCACTCTGTTGCCCAGACTAGAGTGCAGTGGCACAATCACAGCTCACTGCAGCCTTGACCCGCTAGGCTCAGGTGACCCTCCCTCCTCAGCCTCTGTGGTGGCTGGGATTATAGGTGTGCCGCCAGGCCCGGATAATTTTTTGATTTTTTTTTTTTTTTTTTTTGTAGAAATAGGATCTTGCTGTGTATGTTGCCCTGGGTTTAAGCAATCCTTTCACCTCAGCCTCCCAAAGTGCTGGGATTACAGGCGTGAGCCACCATACCCAACCGGTACTATATTTTAAACATTTGAGACAAGAGGAGTAAACAAGATAAAGTCTCTGCCCTTATGGCATTTAATTTTCAAAGGTGATGATGAGGAGACAGATAAGTAATGCCCATGTGGCTGATGAAGAAACAAGAGTTGGGGATAAATAACAAACTCCCTTAAGCTCATATAGCTATTGCATCACAGCAGAGGATTTGAAGAGAGTTCTTGCTGACAGTCCACCTTTGATAATTCCACTCTCCTCTTAGCTGCCTTCTGGGAAAGGGCCAGGCATGCTACTGAGAGCAAAGACATCAGTAAACAGACTGTTCCTGCCACATTATGAAAGTGAATATGAGCTTCTGTTCTGTGTTTGTTTGTCTGAGAAGCAAATGATTTTCAGTGGCAATGCACTGAAATCTGCAGAAGATCTGTGTTGCACTCTTGACTTTGCCACTCGTGATCGGTGTAGTTAAGTCAGTGTTCTCACCCAAATCGTGGTGAAAATGGAGGCATCTCAAGAGGCCTTTGTGAGAATCAAATAAGCTAGTGTTTATGAGCATCTGGAAAAGAGGCTGGTCCACAGTAGGCTGGCAATAAATTTGTAGAGATGATGGCACTGAGTATCTGGTATTATTCACTTGTGGATTAACTGAGGAGGGCATGGTTCATGTCTCACCCCCACTGCCTTTTGTTCAATTTCACCTTAATCTCTAGTGTGGGATGATAACAGCTACCAAAAAGGGTGGTGGTGGTGATTAAAAATGAGCAGTAGACCATACAATGCACCTAGTACAGTTTCTGGCATAGAACAAGCAATCAGGAAATTATAGTGATTGTGATGATTATTTTTTGTGTCCAACAGAGCACATATTCGGTAGACAATTTATAAAGTGTGCCACAAATTTGGATCCAGATAGTGTTGGTTATGAAGACGTTAAAATCTAAACATTTCAATTTAAACATCCTAAAAAGTCTAAATATTTAAATTTAAAAATCCTTAAAAATCTTGAAAACATTAAGCAGTTCAGAAATGTTCAATGTAAAGAAGCATGCATGCAGGCCAACGAAGTATAAGTCATTTCCTCTTTGTTAATTAGGAGTACATATGATTTTAATAAGTGCCCTTCCAGAACGTATCTTCACATTTCAATTTTTTTCTGGCTTCATCTATAAGTGAGAAATCACGCATAATCTGTAACTCGTGAGGGCATTAGAGATATCTTTAAAAAAACATTCTGTCCTGGATTCACGTTTATCAGATAATAGCAGAATCAGTGAAGAATCTGATCAGCACAACATACTCCCTTTTTAAAGATACCTCTAACCCTAGCCCTAACCCTAACTTTATTTTGTTTATTATTTAATTAATTATTTATTTTTTTTGAGTTGGAGTTTCACTCTGTCACCCGGGCTGGAGTGCAGTGGCATGCTCATGGCCACCACAGCCTTGACCTGCTGGGTTCAGGCGATCCTTCCACCTCAGCTTTCCAAGTAGCTGGAACCACAGACGCATGCCACCATGCCCGGCTAATTTTTGTGATTTATTTTAGAGAGGAGGTCTCACTAAGTTACCCAGGCTGGTCTCGAACCCCCGGGGTCTGGCAATCCCTCTCACCTCGGGCCTCCCAAAGTGCTGGGATGACAGGCTAAACCACCGCACGGGTCAGGACAGAATATTTAAAACCGAGGACGTCTGACTTAGCAGGCACAAGCTGTTGAGGGAGTTTAATGGGAAGGGAGTTTATTTCTAAACATTACTTGGGGAACCAGGATTCAGTTTTAAATACCTGAGCTCGTGTCCTCTTTACAAAGGTACCTATCCATCCGACTGGATCCAGATTTCCTCCCAAACTTAAAGCACGTCACCCTACAAAGGAGAGGCTTGATGATGATAAGCAAATAAAGGACATCAGGCTTTCAAGCTTTCAAGCTTTCTGTGTGGGTGAGGAGTTGACTTCCTTCTCCCCAAACACACACACCCTCGCACGCAGGCCCACTCGCAGCCTCTTCAACCTGCCAGCCGCTCTTCTTACCGAGGGGTAATTGGCAGGTTGGGCACTCCACCTTCATTGCATCCCCTTCATTGCATCCCCCAGGGAGAAACCGCAGCTCCCTGGGCGGGAGGGACGGGGGCGTCGGTGGCTACGGGCTGAGCTATTCTTTTCAATGAAGTGAATTCTGACTAAAACATTTAGCAGCTGCCCGAGGCCAAGCCTGGAGGCTGGGTTTGGGGTTTGGGAAGGACCGCTGGCTCCAGGTCGCAATCCGAGAGCCGGTGTCCCTCCCTCCCGGCCGCCCGTCTAACTGCTTCCCGGAACTCCCCTGGGCTGGGGTCGTCGGCTGTGCCGGCTCCTCCCGAGCCGCCCCAGCTTAACTGGAGCACGCCAGCCTCCCCCCCAGCCCCAACAAGGGATCTCTTGGTCTCTAATCGTCACGCGGGTTCAATCGCCCAGCGGGAGGTCCGTTGCCCCAAGCCGACTCCTCTTCTGCTGCCCTTCACTCCCCCCCACTGGCCAAAGACATTTCTGTCGTTAACCCTTGTGAGACTCCACCCCGGGGAAAACGTAATTCAAGCTGTAATCCCAGCACTTGGGGAGGCCGAGGCGAGAAGACCGACTGAGCCCGCGGGTTCGAGACCCGCCTGGGCAACTGGGCGAGCCCGCATCTCTACAATAAAGGAGAAAATTAGCCGGGTGCGGTGGCATGCGTCTGTAGTTCCAGCTACTTGGAAGGCTGAGGCGGGAGGATCGCCTGAGCCCGGCAGGTCGAGGCTGCGGTGGCCGTGAGCGTGCCTCTGCACTCTAGCCTGGGCAACAGAGTGAGACTCCAACTAAAAAAAAAAAAAAAAAAGAAAAAAATTCAGAAGTTTATGACAGTCAGGCTTACACGCAGGTTGGTTAAAAATACAGAAGACGCATACTGTAAAGACTGGAATGCATGTTTTTATTTGAATCAAACATAGGTAATTATGTTGAAAAAGACTGCTGGCCAGGCTCGGTGGCTCAGCCTGTAATCCCGCGCCTTTGGGAGGCTGAGGTGAGTGGATTGCCTGAGCCCGCGGGTTCGAGACCCGCCTGGGCAGTGAGACTTCATCTCTACAGTAAATCAAAAAATCAACCGGGCGTGGTAGCGCATGCCTGTAATTCCGGGCTACTTGGAAGGCTGAGGCGGAAGGATCGCCGGAGCCCAGCAGGTCGAGGCCGGGAGCACTGCACGCCAGTCTGGGCGACAGAGTGAGACTCCAACTCAAAAAAAAAAAAAAAAAGATACTGCTTGGGTTTCAGTGGATTCAGCAAAATCGAGTCGCTTATTCAATTATTCAGAGTAGTAGCATCTTTCTATGTCAGTCTCTAGTCAATTGCACGTGTTTTACATGGTGTGGGGAGGGTCTCAGCACACTAATCAGAGCTTCTGACACATCCTCACATGAACATAGGAATCACATTCTCCTTACTCCTGGGTACACTTTGACTGTAGTGTGCATGTCTTGGAGGACTGCATAATCTCTCTTGCTCAATGCTACAGCTGACCAACCACATACAAGGGTCTGAGTTACATTAATTCTTGTACACATGTTGCCTATATTTCAACATAGAGGAACCTCGCAGGCCTTGGCAATCCGTTGCATACCCAGGTGATTTGGGTGGAAGAGTCCCCGGGGTCCCTATGAAACATGCTAAAAAGACAAATTGATCTTTGGCGCCTTCCCCCATGCCCTGCAGTGCTCCCACCCCACACCTTCTTCGAAGGCCCCTACGAACTAAAATGATCTCTTGCCTGTACCAGTCGTCTGCCTCTTCACAACTGCTGAAAAGAGTCTCTTGAAGATCACCGTGCCTATGAGCCACCTGGGGATCTCGATAAACTGCAGATTCTGCTTTAGGAGGTCTGGGATGTGCTGGAGAGTCCGCAGGCCTCCTAAATCTCCAGGTGGTGCTGATGTTACTGGTCCTCTGTGGACCATACTTTGAGTAGCAAGGCAATCATATCATCAGATTAGAGGGATTCCTTTTAATTAAAGTGTAAATGACTGTTAAACCCAACACAGCTGGTGTTTGCATATCAATGGGAGCTGTGTTCTTTGCATCAATCCCTAGAGAAGGAAGAGAAGTAGAATCTGCTGGGCTCGGTGGTTCGGCCTGTAATCCCGTGCCCTGGGGAGGCTGAGGTGGGTGGATTGCCTGAGCCTGCGGGTTCGAGACCTGCTTGGGCAGCGAGACCTCATCTCTGCAATAAATCAAAAAACCAGCCGGGCGTTAGTAACGCATGCCCAGGTTGAGGCTGCGGTGGCCGCTCCCGGCCACTTCACTTCAGTCTGGGTGACAGAGTGAGACTCCAATTAAAAAAAAAAAAGAGAAGTAGAATCACCCAAATCCTTTCTTTAAAGCCTCTTTTTCTGAAGTGATGAGAGGGGAGGGGCAAGGTTAATCCCAGGAGAACTGGGTGTTTCTTTGGCTTCCAGTCTTCTTTCTGTTCCCCTTTCGCTCTCTCACCATCCAAGGCTCACTTTTTTTCATACCCCTTTTCTACTTTGTGTTTCAAGGACATGAAAAAGCTCCAAGTTTTATGATATTATTTAATAGTTAAATATGCTTTTGCATGATAAAAATGTTTCTAAATTCTTGGAAGTGAATGGGTGCTATCCCAATTTTGCTACAGAATTCAGGCACACTGATGGTATATTTCTTTTTTCTTTCTTCTTTTTTTTTATAGGCAGGGTCTTGCTCTGTCACTCAGGCTCAAGTGCAGAGGCACAGTCACGGCTCACTGCAATCTCAAACTCCTGGGAGTGATCCTTCTGCCTCAGACTCCTGAGTAGCTAAGACTACAGGTATGTCACCATGCCTGGCAAATTTTTTGTAAAGGAAGAGGTTTCACTATGCTGCCCAGGCTGATCTTGCATTCCTGACCTCAACTAATCCTCCTGCCTCTACTTCCCTTGGTGCTGGGATTACAGGCATGAGCCACCCTGTCTGGCTCACTTCTGGTTTATTTCTTGACCAAATATTAGCAGTAGCCAGTATTAGCTTCCAAAAACGAGCAAAAATTCACTAATTTTAGAGATAAAAATTCAGTAAAAAAATGTGTTTAGAAATTTGTGCTACTATGAATTAACCAATATTTATTTTTTTAGTTGGAGTCTCACTCTGTCGCCCAGGCTGGAGTGCAGTGGCACGCACATGGCCACCCAGCCTCCACCTGCTGGGCTCAGTTGATCCTTCAGCCTCAGCCCTCCCAGGAGTTGGAACTACAGGCATCTGCCTCCACACCCAGCTAATTTTTAAAAAATTTACTGTAGAGATGAGGTCTCTCCAAGTTGCCCAGGTTGGTCTTGAGCCGGTGGACTCAGGCAAAACTCTCACCTCCGCCTCCCAAAGTGCTGAGATTATAGGTGTGAGCCACCTCACGCAGCCTTATTTACTTATGAAGACTTTGCTCTAGACAAAGAGTACTGGGTTGGAGCTAAGAGAGTGTAATTCTAGTTCCAACTCTAAGGTAACTAGTTGTATAATCCTGAGCAATAGCAATAAGAATTGCACCTCCGTTTGTCAAACCTATTTATTAGTTGAACAGATATTTATTGAGCACTTATGATGAGCTTGTTAAACATCTAGCAAATACTCAGTGCTATAGTATTGATCAAGTTCTTATGTATGTTTAAACCATAGGGGGTTTTGAGTTGCATTTATTTGCTCCCAGCAAGTGATACAGGCACATAGAATAATGGCCCCAGTTCTTGCTATGCAATCCTTGTCTCCTGCTGCTTTTCTAACTCTGAGATTTTGTCTGGAAGCTCTGAAGATATAGCAGGCTGGTTCTTGTAGCAACTTTCTCTGTTGGGTGATGGCCAAGGAAGGTATCCGGTTGCACATGAATAAAATGTGTCTGGTGAGCTGGGGCTGTTATAAACTTGGGTGGGCTCAACTGTTAGGGAAGCCAGCACTGGTCAAGAGGAAGTGTTGGAAAAAACCCTGTACCAGATGGGAACAGGCTAGGGAGATTTTTCAGCCTCGGGACCCATTCCAGAACCCATGGTGCAACTGTGCAGTGCCAGAAAGGTCAGCTATGTCATGACTCTGGAAGATGCATTTGAATTGGTACCCCTTGCCAGCAGCTGGGAATATAGGGAACAAGCTACGACCCCCAGGGGGTATACGAGGGCAGGGACACAGCAAGGTGTTGAATCCCCGCCAGATGAACTATGATGGTTCTAGGCAAAGCTCCAGACCCAGCAATGGGCTGGAATACTAAGTAGGAAATTGAGGCTGAAGTCTGGTTTGAGAATAGGGCTTGTAGCCTGGTGCTCAGGCCTCGGCAGACACCAGGCCTACAGCAAGAAGATGAATTCCAGATTCCACACACTAGTGTTAATCCTTGCTGTGGTCAGGGGTGGCTGACTCAGAGCCTGGACTGGGCTGTGTCTAGAACTGGCCAGGATTGGGAAGGCAGGGACTGTGAGGGAAACATCAGAGGAGAAACTCTGTTGGTAACCTCAGTCTCCATATTGCCAGTCCCTCTTGGGACATTACATTATACCAGTGGGGAACCAGTTTCTTGACTTACACAAACTTCGAGACTTTTAAAAAAAAAGTTGACTGTTGTAAACTTCGAGATTAATTTTGTAAAGTGAAAATACTTCTGAGAGATGTGATGTCTTAAGCCCTGCCTCTCTTTTTCTTACTGAAGATTTTGGAAACAATGTAATGTCAATGTCCTGCATTAGAGACCACCAGGGACACTCCTGTAGTTAGACAAATTAGGTTGATTCCTTGTTGCAATGAGAAAGAACATATACCACGGAGACCTCAGCAAGAAGGGATTAGAAATGACTTATCATAGGATCTGGCTTTAGATTGGGCAAACTTGTGGAGGGTCTAGAGGAGTCAGAGAGTAGAGAGTGGGAATAGTTTTGAGATTGGGTTTCTCAATAAGTTGTATCTATAAGGAAGAGAGTCTAGACCAAAGATAAAACTGTAATTGGTAAGAAAGCAGCAGTCAATCATATTAACCAGGAGAGACTAGGATATTTGCTATTTTG